ACTTTTTTTAGTACATATTATAGCTGATATCAAGACTTTTTAGAATGTATATTCAGAGTTCTCTAGCCAGAAGCCGTTACTGAGATATCAGTGTTTTTCAAACAATCTCCTGATTCAGACCAGAATGAACTGATCTTGATTTCTTACCAAGAATCAGTGACCATGAATCTTGAAAAATTAACATAGTACAGCGCAATAATATGCTTTAAAAATATCCTACTATATTGATATTCACACACAACTGCTATTCTACTATACTCCTATTCAGATATTCTACCATTCTACTATTCTACTATATTGCTATTCCCATACCACTCCTATTCTGATATTCTACTATTCTACTATTCAATTATTATACTATTTTGCAATTATACACCAAACGGAAATACGATTTCCCAATCGTGATCATCGTTCTCGAAAGCATACCTGCGGTGACTCCTAACCAAAGTAGACGAGCAAAAACCACACCAAAAATGACAGATACAGCACAGACCCTTTAGAGAACAACACCAGACTGCACTACTGATCCTAATGTGTAAAGCAGACACTTTATCTTCTACAGTGTACTATTCTGCAGATCCGCTATTCTACTATAGTAGAATAGCAGAATAGTAGAATATCAGAATTGGAGTATAGTAGTTGTGTGGGAATAGTAATATAGTAGATTTGTAGAATAGCAGAGTAGTAGAAAAGTAGAATATCAGAACAGGAGTATAGTAGAATAGCAGTTGTGTGGGAATAGCAATATAGAAAATAATAGATTCCCACACAACTGCTATTCTACTATACTCCTGTTCTGATATTCTACTTTTCTACTACTCTGCTATTCTACAAATCTACTATATTACTATTCCCACACAACTACTATACTCCTATTCTGATATTCTACTATTCTGCTATTCTGCTATTCTACTATTCTGCTATTATACTATTCTGCTATTCTACTATTCTGCTATTCTAGTATTCTACTGTTCAAGAATTATACTATTTTGCAGTTCTACACTCGTGATCATCGTTCTCGAAAGCATACCTGCGGTGACTTCTAACCAAAACAGATGAGCAAAAACACCCCAAAATAGAACTGCCCTTGGATAGATTCGAGCAACGGCTTCACGGATCTGCTGATCACAGATACAGCACATACCCTTTAGAGAACCACACCAGACTGCACTACTGATTCTAATGTGTAAATCAGACACTCTTTTACAATGTACTATTCTGCTATTCTACTAAATTGCTATTCCCACACAGCTGCTATTATACTATACTCCTATTCTGATACTTTACCATTCTGCTCTTCTACTATTCTGATATTCTACTATTCTACTAGTGTAGTCTGCTGTTCGGCATTCTTCACCACGTGCGTCATGATTAAATCAGTTGTTGGCGACCTCGTCGTCGTCAGATGAGCAGTGCTCTGACGAAAGTGAAATGTCATCTGGTGCCATGGAACATCCAGCAGATAGATGTACAGTGTAATGGTTCGCATTCTTCACTAGCCGCATGATCATTCAGTCAGTTGTTGGCGACCTCGTCGTCATCACATTATCATTGCTGTGAAGAAACTGAAATGTCATCTGGTGCCTGGCACGTCTAGGAGATAGATGTACAGTGTTAAAAAACTACGCAGTATTGAAGAAAGATTACGTTTAAATTTTCAATTTGAGGATATGCCAACGAGATCGAACAGAATAACCACAACGACGAAGTTAATTCTGACATTTCCATGAATAATAACTCACTACTTACAACAATGATGCCGAATTCAAGTAATATAACAACGTCAGTAGAAATGGAAGTAAGAAATGGTCCAGAAGAAAACACGAATATCGTTTCATCAATCTAAGATTGAATGAACCCGTTAGCGCCCATTTTTTCCCCTATAGTTTTAGATGATCCACTAGGAAAAGCAATATGCAGGTTACAACAGTGTAAAGTCCCAGAAAAAATAAGAAAAAATGTTATTAGGTTTTTGTCTGTGTGGTACTCAAGTAGCACATTGGAAAATATCTTAAGGAAATGCGAGTTATCCGGTGAAAGAAATAGTAATTCAGTTAAGTGTAAACAAACACCACTAAATTTCCTTCTCTTTAATGTCCAGGGATGGAACACTCGAGCTTTCCCTAGACATCGATCCTTATATAAGAAACCTGTAAGAATATTATAGGAAAAAGATTCTTATAAGAATCTTATCAGTTTCTTACATAAGATTGTTTAAGATTTCTCATCGACACCCGTAAGTCTTTTATAAGAATCCGATAAGAAATTCATAAGAAATTGATAAGAATTCAATA